AGACATTTGAATGTAAAAAATCTGCCCGTTTCCCTCCGTTACCACTTGACCAGACCCAAAGGTTAAATAACACACTGTGACACATTTCAGACAACGCAATAACATGTCCATGGACACAAGCATTTGACGAACCCTCCACTAGAAAAGTTACACAACACATCTTTAATATTCATTTTCTCTGAGTCAAACCTACGTCCAAAAGCGATCCCAAAACTGTAGCGCTGCTTGATGTGAGAGTCGCTAAACTGTGTATCATTATATTTTATTTCACAATAACAATAAGCCGACCTCCTCTAATCCCACATGAACAGAAATGAAACCTCTCTGATGAGTCTAAACCGCAGATTAAACCACAGATCAAAATGTTCTCCACCATTTTGTCTGCGCCGCCAAGACACCAGCGCACAAAAGAGATCCGATGTGACAGTTAATCATGGCTGTTAATCTGCTCCATCACAGGCCGATGACCAGGGGCCTGTGGGAGCCAGCGAGCCCGGAGACAGTGCACTGAATACAGACACGAGGATTCAGGAGGAGGGGGCGTCACGGAGGATTCAATACAGATTTGCTCCGACGCTTTTCAGACTTTTTCAATTTGATGCGAAGGATTAGCGGGGCTCTGTCGATTCAACTCTGATTTCCACAAAGCAGGGAGGAAAAATTAGGTTGACAAAAGCTACAGAGTGTAAAAGTCTGTTTCTGTGGCAGTGTGTTTGTGCGGAGGACAAAGGCGCAGTTGTGCAGCAAGGTTTCTGTCAGGCTGTCCCAGGGCAGCTGCGGCTATAGAGGTTCCACATCATTCTGAAACGCAAGGATAGATGCTTGGGGCTGCTTGTTTCTATGGAGATGTCGCTGCTCTGCTTAGAATGTTCCACAGTATGACATTAAACAGCTCTACTTTACATTTACCGTATTTTCCGGGCTATTAGTCGCTCTGGATTATAAGACGCACTGTCATTAAATGGTCTATTTTTGAACTTTTTTCACAAATAAACCGCACCGGACTTTAAATGAAACACAACAGTGTGATGGGTGAGTGGTTTTGTTTGTTTGGTGCGTTCACGGTGACTCTGGGCTTTGTTCAGTTGTGGCGTGTAGGGAGGGTGCTGTCTGGGACCAACGGATTGTCGGCGTGTTCGCAGTGACTCAGTTGTTCAGTCGTGTCTAGAAATGGCACATTGGACTCGCTTTTTCGGTTCGTTCCTCCGTTCCTCGTCGGCGTGGAGTGATGAGTGTGGCTGCGGGTGTTTTTCGCTGTGTCGCTGTCTGCTCCGTGTGTGTTTGTGTGTTCTGTGGGTCGTGTGGCTTTGTAGTTTACTGAAGTCATGCTGGGACACCCGAGTGGATTCGTGTATAGGGCGCTCTCAGTCCTAACTTGTAGTCCATTACAAAAAAAGCTGGTGTAAAACATGGATAAAGCAGGTAGACGTCCAAAGTCATTAGAAACACAGTCTAAACCTGATCTGAAAAGACTGATCTGGACACAGGACTAAAGCGTCTTTATAAAATGTATGTCTGAATATGTATGAATCATTTAAACTTGTAGAGGACCCTGAGTACCCACACAAACGATTATATATGAATAAGCACATATGCTCAGCTCAACATGTTCTTTTGTTCTACTAATAATGGATTTCTTTATTTCTCCCCCCTCTCTCCTCTCTCTCTCTCTCTCCCTCACTACTTTCTCTCCCTCTGTCTCTCTCGCTCTCTTCCTTTTTCTCTCTCTACTTTCCCTCTCTCCCTCTTTCTCACTACTTTCTCTCACTCTGTCTCTCTTCCTTTTTCTCTCTCTCTCTCTCTCTGTCTTCCTTTCTCTCTCTCTGTCTCTCTCTCTCTCTCTGTCTCTCTCTTTCTTTCGCTCCCTCTCCTTTCTCTCTCACTACTTTCTCTCCTTCTGTCTCTGTCTCTCTCTCCTCCTCTTTCTCTCTCTGTCTGTCTCTCTCTACATTCCCTCTCTCCCTCTTTCTCTTTCTTTCACTACTTTCTCTCGCTCTTTCTTTTTCTCTCTCCTTTCTCTCTCTGTCTCTCTCTACTTTCTCTCTCCTGCTCTCTCTCTTTCTCTCCACTTTGTCTCTCTCTCTCTCTCTCTCTCTCTCCTTTCTCTCTTTCTCTCTCTCACTACTTTCTCCCTCTACTTTCTCTCTCTCTACTTTTTCTCTCTCTCCCTCTTTCTCTCTGTACTTTCTCTCTCTTTCTACTTTTTCTTCCTCATTCTGTACTCTTTCTCATTCTCCCTCTACTCTCTCTGTCTCTTTCTTTCTCTTGTCTCTCTCTGTTTGTCTCTGTCTGTCTCTCTCTTTCTCTCTCTCAGGTTGGGTGGAACAGGAGACGTATTATTAGCCTGCAGGATTATGAGCACCTCTGGGACGTCCTGCCGCCTGTAGCCTGTGTCTGATACACTTCTTAACGGAGACACACTCTGCTAATGTCAATGTACGGGCAACAAAATACTACGGCTGCTGTAACTGACCTAGGTGGAAAATCCGTTTTGAACTAGTTAGATGTTTCTTTGCATAAATGTGTGTGCCCTTTGACCTCCTCCTCTTCTTGTCGATCGTCTGTACGAACAGGAGCAGTGTCTGAATCACTTGTTTTCTGGTTTTATTGTACTAGACTTTCACGCTTTACTCTGTGCCTTATGATCTGTCTGCTGTGATGTAAAAGTGGACCATTTGTTCACAAATAAAAAATAGAGACTGTTTGCAAAATGAGATGTTTAGAATAAATGTGTTGCAAAGTTCTCTTGTGGGTATGTCTTATTGCTTATTTCTTATATTCTTTACCCATAATACTTCCAATATTTTTCTTGGAAGTCCATCATTTTGTATCCTACCGTTAAATGTGATTTTTTTAGTCACCAATTTTCTATTAAGCTAATACACATTTGGAAATATGTACACCAATTATTTCCTTACTTCAAGAGCCTCTAAACACCAAAACTACTTTTAACCGATTAATTAAATGGGTTTAAATTTGAAATATAGACCAATCTGTGGCCTAATTTTGGCATTTCTGTGCATATTTTGATCCAAAGTCATGTCTGTAATGGCCTCTTTAGGTTCAACTGTGGCCACAACATTTGAATTTTGCGTTTGGACGACAACACTGTATAAAGAAGTGGACTTAGGGAGAGTGTTCAAATATAGCTTACGAGGCTCGCAATTATAGGAGCAAATTAGAAGGCAAATTCCAGGAATTAGAAATAGCCACATTAGGAATACGAATTGATTTAAGGACAAAATAGCGAAATAAAAATGCCAATCATGTTGAGCAGAATACGACCATTTTAAGACCAAAATGACGAGGCTCACAGCAGCAGTTACAGAGAGAGGGACGAGCATTTTTCAATGTGTTGTATTGGTATGTACAGCATTTATGATATCAGCCTGTGCAGGAACTGAAGGGAGAAATGAGCAATTTTTCTGTAACCTGGCACAAACCATAGAACTATAATAAAATCTGAAGGTGAACCCAAGATTGCGTCGTATTGTTTTCAGTGGCCTGTGCTCATTGGTACATGGGCCCTAAAATTTTTTCTTTTCCATATTTACTTCAATACGGGCTAGATCCTCACGCTTGTGTGATGTCTGAAACGTGCACGGTGTGGAGCGTTTGGATCATAGACTGTATAAAAAAGTGAAAAAAGGGAGTCACCCAAAGTGTTCAGCGCCGCTCAACTGCGACACTAAAGGTTACAAGAGCAAATCAGGTGCCAGACTCTATATGAGGCATGTCCAAACTATGGCCAAACACGGCCCTCAGACAAATTTTTCTTGGCCCTCAGGCTTCCAGGTGAATTGGCCCAAATTACCTTGCATCAATTAAAAATGAAGTTTTTACTGGAACTTTTTTTTGAAAATCTACCTTGATAAAACTAATATTTCATATTTAGTGTGTGGTTTTAAGGATCTTAGCATGAATAAAGACTGATGGCTCATTCTAACTTGTTAAACATGCACATATTTCAATTATTCACTGTATTGAGCATCAGTCTACAGCCCTCAATCAGCTCTCTGCTTCATCTGTGTTTAGATATGTGGCCCTTGATGAAATAAATTTGGACACCCCTGCTCTAGATTATGAATAGGATTTTTTTTAAAGACACAAAATAGGGGAAAAAATAAAAAATAGGATCATGTAGAGCGGTTTAATATGAACATTTTAAGACCAAAATGTCAAAGCTCACAGCACAGAGAGAGGAGCCACAAGATCCCAGTGGAAGTCAATGGAAGCCAGGGAGAAGCCGGAATAGCTGCATGCGAACTTACATACTACATATGTCAACATGCTACATATGTTGAAAGAACAAAAATGTGGCTGTTTGCTGCAGGTGTTCCAATCAGTAGGAGCAAATAGAGGGTGCTCTTGGAAAAAAAGGATCAAAACTCAAGACACAACGGATTCCAGGCACTCCAAAACAGATTAAAAAAAATTAACTAATCGCACAAGGAAAAATATAATTAAAAGACCTTTATTTGAATGGCCAAAGCCAACATGTTTCAACTTTAACTGGTCTTCATCAGGGCTTAATTGACATACTACATATGTTGATTTATATATAGGTCTACAGTCTGTGGTGTGGACTTGGCTTGTTATTTTCATCATGACTACAGCCACTAAATTATTAAAATTTGCTTAAGACAAAGTTGCATAATTTTATAATTATTTATGCCTAATCTTCACTTGTTTAAGTAGAAAGTTGTTTAAATAGAAATACTAATAAATTCTGAATCGGCATTTGCCATTTATTTGATCTTATTTTGAATGGAATAACTGCATTTAGTTGTCAGAAACATCCTTGTAAAACATCTGAACTAACTATATTTTCAAGTGGACTCACAGAGACATTTAAAAAGGTTTTCCTGTTCATGAAAGTACCCTCACAGACGTGTCCAATAAAAGTTTAAATAGTTAGATAATAAATATATTTCTTTTCATTTCCTTTGACCGAGAATGACCTTCCTCACACCTCTGGCTGATAACAACATCCGCTGCGTCACTTCCGCTAAGAATACTTCCAACATGGCGCTGCTTTTAAGGTCAGTGCGTCTCTGCTCGTGTCGTTTTCTTTCTGGTTTTATTCTCTTTCAGCTTCTCTGTGAATGTGACATGTTAGACACAGTGTTTAGACCATCTTTGCGCTGCTTGTCATCACGGTAACGGCGCGCTAGAGTTTGTTTTTAGGTTATCGTAAAGAAAAACACGATGTGGCTAAAGCTAATGCTAACCGAATCTGCACCGAGAGCAGTAAAAGGATTTTAAAGCCGGATTAATGGATTTAGAACTATTTTTGCCTACGGAATCATAGTTAAACTTATATATCAAGAGGTGGCATGTGATTAAGAAAATATCCAGTTTCTTTCAGGTATAATAACAGTAGTAGATGTCTTTTAATCTCTGCATAGTTGAACTCTGCCCCCAGATCTCTCATTACAAAACGTGCACTTTTATTATTGTATTATTTATATTTTTGGATTCTGAACTAATTAATTTATTGGTCCAAAAGGAGACTGGCTTTGTCACAGAATGGCTACGTCAATGGACAAACGCTACGTCAAAAGATTGTAATAATTTCAAACTAAATCGAAGTAGGAAGTGGCTATGTTGAAATAGTTGGCGCTAGAATGTGTCCACGCCTTTATTTAATATGATAATTATGAATACAATCTATATGTAGTGCTGTAATTCTACCCGGTGAACGTAAATACCACTAAAAAGTCAAAAGAAACCAGAATAGGATGGAATAATAACCGAAATATTGCAGACCATTACATTATATTGAATTATGAGTGTCTTTGCTTAAATGAAGAGTTATGCTGATTCCAATGTTTTTATTTTGGGATTTTAATAGGGCTGGGTATCATTAAGAAGTTGCCGATACGATACATACCTCGATACATGGGCCACGATACGATACATATCTTGAAACAGTGAGCTTTCGATTCAATACAATTCGATACGATATATTTCAAATCGATTCGATATGATTCAATAAAAAAATAATGGCTAAATTGTGACTAAAAGTCTTATTAAACCACTTCTTGTGCAAAGTGAATATGAAACACTAACATTTTAATAATAAAAACTGTGAAAATGTCAAATGTGTTGCATAAATGAGTTTCCTTCCACTAAACAAACAACAAATCTGTAGCGCTGTGACACAATAATTCTGTAAAAAATACCAAAAATATACTGTTGGCGATATATCAATACAGCAGCCCACGATATCAATACTGTATCATGACATTAAACGATACGATATATCGATATTTTGATATTTTTGCACACCCCTAGATTTTAATGTCTTTCTTATTCTGTAAAGCGCTTTGAATTACTTTTGTGTGTGAACTGTACTACACAAATACAACTTGCCTTTCCTCTTGCAGCAATAGCTATAAAACAGAGGGAACTACATAGACCATGATCCTTTGCTGTTGTCAGTGTAGACGACATGAAAAAATAACTGTTATGAAGCACTTTTAAATGTTAAGTCTTCATATTGTAACAGTACCAACAGCTTTTAAAAAAAAAAAACATAGGCATATTCGCAGTTTTGTTAGTACAAAATATCTCAGTAAATATGTGTGTGTGTGTTATGATCGATGAACATCTGACATGGAAATCCAATATTGATTATGTCAAAATTAAATTATCACAAGTAACAGCTGTGTTACATAAGGCAAAAGAGTCATTAAGTAGGAGTGCATTGTATTTGTTGCATAATTCATTGATTGTTCCATATTTGACCTATTTGTATTGAAGTTTGGGGAAGTGCTTGTAAAACTTTTGTTAATCCAGTTTTCCTTTTACTGGAAAGAGGTGTAAAAATCCTGGATACAGACTCAACAAACTCAAGATTTATACAATTAAAGATACTGAAATTCAGTGTATTGGTAGAACTTCATATTAAAAAAAATGTACAAAGCAGATCTTGCCCACCAATCTCCAAAGAAAATTTACAAAGAGAGAAAGTTATTATAATTTGAAAGGAATTGAAATCTTTAAAAAACCCAGGTTCAGAACAACAACAATGAGCAAAATGTGTTTCAATCAAAGGTGTGAGCTTATGGAAGAGTCTAAATGAAAACTGAAAGCTTCAAAATCTATTCAAGTATTTAAAAGAAATGTCAAAGATGATATGCTAAAAAGTATGAACTGTCCTTTCGTGTTAATTAACAAGTATTTAATATTGTGTCACCTAAATAATTTGCTTATAAATGTAGTTGGAACTGCTGAAGGGTTAGAAATCTTTAACTTTGTGTGAAAAGGGGGCAGATATTACAACTCTAAACTTCTTTCTGCTCCTTTTACTTCACACTGATGCATGAAACATAATTAGTTTGTTTTCATCTTTCATGAATGAAACAAATAAAAAAATTAAATATCGACCTGTGAGATGCATATCCTGAAAATATATCAGGATTTTGACATTGTTACATCCCTAGAATAATCCTGATGCCGCAAAGTTTCTATGTCAAAATATACATTCTCTCAAATAACTCTGTATATATTTTTGCGCTGTAATGTTGCTGATACTTTCCATCACTTTTATAGATGAGCAGAATGTAGCTCTTGCTGAAAAATGTAAAAATGGCGTTCCGTCTGTGTAATGAAGGACTTTTAATATTTTCCGTCTGTGTGCCTCAAGTTTGTACCTTCCCCATTTTTACATTTTCCACTAAAGGCTACATTCTGCTGAGATTTCAACTTGACCCTCGTAGAGCACCTGTACTGTTATTTTTAAACTTTTCTATGACCCAGTGACGTGCTCTACCTCTTCTCTTCATCAGTTTGTCATAGTTCTGCATTGTCTTGGCTTGTTTTAATTGTATATCCTTTATTTTTCAGGTCATTGGCTCGACAGGGGGTGTGTCTGTCCAGATCCCCCTCTCTCCAGCTCTCCCCCCTCGTCTGCAGACAGTCAGTTTGTTGTGATTAAGATATGATTTTATTAAGACTATGCTTTTGTTTCTAATCTCTTCTTCTTCTCTGGTTTCAGTGCTGCTCCGATGGGGACCACAGCCAAAGAGGAAATGAACAAATTCTGGGCCAAAAACGCCAGACTGAACCGACCCCTGTCCCCTCACCTCACCATCTACCAGTGAGTACAGCGCGGATTAGAAAAGCCCTTTCAAGCATAAATTTGTCCGGCTCTGATTACAGACAGTTTAAATTAAAGTCTTACTTAATGAGAAATGTGTGTTTTTTCAAGGTAAACTTTCAAGTCAAATAAAAGCTTCTTGATTGAGTAAATGAAATCAAATGAGCCATATTACATTTAACATTTTAATTAAGATTTTAATAGCAACATGAAGCACTTTGTATAGCCTTTACACAATGTTACAGAAAGAGATAATTATAGCATTTGCACATACATAAATATAAAATGCTACGTCACATGTCTCACAATCTCACTGGAGCAGGTTTGTCTGCCTCATTATCATCATAAGAACAGCAAACTGACATTTTTGTGTGTGGTTTTGGCTGTATTCATACAAGATTTACAATTCTTTTTTTTTTCCTTTTACATTTTTCTTATTTTCAAAACCACCATCTAAATACGAAGTGTCAAATCCAGATCTGATCAAAAATTAAATAAAGGCCAGCAATTAATAATAAAAAAATAAAAAATGAATAGGGCTGTCGCAGTAACCACAAAAATGAATCACCGTGGTACTAAGAGACCCAGCGCGATCATCGCACATGACCAACGTGACCCAACCCAGAGTCCGGTCCATTTTTAGAGACCCGCACCCACCTGGACCTGTTAACATTCCACCTGTTACCGCCCGTACCCAGGACTAACCCAGGACTAACTCAGGACTAACTCAGGACTAACCCAGGTGCGCCCACGTAGACTGTCGGGTGACCGCAGGCGAAAAGACCAGGGCGGAACTCTGCACCGCACGGAGTTAAGTGCATCGTGATCGTGCTTTGTGAACACCTACTCTGCGTGCTTGTGCTAGGGGCTCTATCTTTTAAGTCCAAGGGTACCCGACCTGGTGCAGGACTCTGACCCGACCTGGTGCAGGACTCTGACCCGAGCTGCCACAGTGAGAGCTGGAGAGATGGGGCAGCACTTGTTCCAAAGCCAAATGTTAATTCTCCCACTACACACACTATATCCACACGACAACCAAGGTACATGTGCATCTGCGAAACAAGCACATCATTGGAAAGTTTTCAGTGCCGCTGAAAATATTGTAACTCCGAGAGATGTGGGGTGGGGGAGGGGGTGTGATATCGTTGCATATCGCGCTGTTGGGCTGCTATACCGCACCACAGGAGAAATTCCCTAACCGCGACAGCCCTAATAATGAAAAATAAAATCATAAAGCTAAAGGGATAGAGGAAGAAAGAAGAAAGTAGGTGGTCAGTTCAAAGGCAGAGTTTTTAATGATTTGCAGTGTTCCATAAACGAACCCTATTTCTGTTCACATTTTTCTTCATTGGGCTTAGTTGGAATATTAATCTTTTCCAGTTTAAGAAATCCTAAAACCTCATGAAACCACTGAGATATTAAAGGACGGCAGGAGATTTCCCGAAAAGCAAAATAGTGTGTCTCGTCACAGCAGCTCAATTTAAATGCTGATGATAATAAATTCCTCATAAATAGCCAAAATAACTGGTAGATCCTGGCATCAGTTGTCTTTAAATGAGCCTTTTTGTGTTGCAGATGGTCCGTCCCGATGATGATGTCCGTCACACACAGAGGAACGGGAGTCGCTCTCAGTGGAGGTAAGTGACCAAAGTCTCTTATTTTAACCCAGAGAAAAAAGTGACAGAAATACAGTTCAGTGTGTGCTTCGGAAATGGGCTCAGGAAGATCTTATTTTGTGTTTTTTTTTTTTGTGTTCTCATTCTAAATAATGATGAAAAGTCAGGAGCGATGCCAAAGACGATTGGAAATTGGAAATGAGAGACAGCTGAAACCATGAAATTAGGATTTTGAGTGACTTCAATAATGTACAAAATAAGAAACCACTTCATTTTTTTTGAGAATTCCATAGAAACTAGTTCAGAGTTCATACATTATCATTGGTTTTGGAATCTCCTGATAAATATTTCTATCCTTAGTGTTTTATCTTTAGTTTTATTTTATTATTACCACCTAAACATATTTCTGCCAATTGATTTTGTGCAATGTTACGACATTACAACAATAGAGCTGTCACGGTAAGTTCTATATCAACTAAATAATAATAATGGGTCAGTTTATATAGCGTTTTTATATGGGACAATAGATTTTGTGGGTCAGTATTTACGTGGGCGCTTTTTCTTTACACGAGTGTGAAAATATTGGTTCTTTCTCGGTTCTACGATGAGTTTCGAGCTGTAGAGAGCTGAATTATAAACTTCTATAGCTCATTATATACACAGACTAACTACTTATGTGTTGCATTTTGTTTTTTTATTTATTACAGCTTGTGTTTTTTAACCATATTTTACATTTTAGATTTGTTTTTGAGGGAGAATTCTGCTGCATGGTTTGGTTTCAGTACTGTTGTTTATCGTCTGTATTCTGATCTGTGTTTGGTCACATTTTTATACAGCGCTTTTCCACCTCCAAGGCACTCAGAGCTTTATAACAACGAACCAAACAGACATTCACACACACACACTCCTACTCGACACTGGGTGGGTGAGGTGGGTTAAGTGTCTTGCCCAAGGACACAACGACAGTATTCATCTGTGGGAGCTGGAATCGTATTTTATTTGCTGTTATCGCTCTTGTTCTTATCTATATTTTTACTTCAAACTTTAAAATGTGTTATAGTGACCAGCCTCCCTACCAACTCAACTTCTAGTGGGTCCGGTCAAGTGGTAACGGAGGGAAACAGGGGCAGATTTTTTACATTCAAATGTCTCTTATTCAGAAACTAGAGGGACTATTGAAATAAGTAAAGTATCAGAATGTAGGAAAGAGTTACACTCCAACAGGGTCAAGTTAAACCTGTGATATTCTTTCAAGTTGTTGACAAAAAATTTAAAAACTCATGTCGGTAACGGAGGGAATGAAATATGCAACACTTTTTGGGCAATAAATCCAAACAGTGATAACTAGTGGTTCTCACTTACATATCCTTAACAAACTGGTTTGAATATTTGCTTCATATAGTTTTCTACCATATGGTACAAGATTAGGTTGAAAAACCTCTAACTTTTTGAGTCATGAGATTTTTTTATGAAGAAAGGTCATGGTAACGGAGGGAAAAGTAACGGAGGGAAAATTGTGCAAACAAGTAGAAGGTGCAGGATTTTGAATAATTTGTCAGCTTTTTTCTTCTGAATACTTTAATATTACTTCAAAATGAAAGGAAACAATTTTATAAAATATGTCAGTCCTTTCCAAGCAAATTTTTTATCATTTTAAATACTTTATTTTTTTTTAAATCATGTACCATCATCAACAGTTCAAAGATGGAATAACACAAGATATGATGAAATACATCCATTTATTTACATGATTTGCAGGTCTTTGAAATTTGGGAAATAATTTTTGTTCCATGTTTCATACATGGTCTGTTTAAAACGTATGGAACTTTAGAACCAAAAATGGTACAGAAAAAAGGTCAACAGTTTCATAAACTAGAGTACATATGTATCTGTTCAATACATTTTTATATCAGATGCATTAACTTGAATTTTTGGCCTTGTTGTTTACTTCTGCTTGACCGGGCCCACTGGTAATTTGCATCAATAATAATGAAATAAGTGTATTTTATGAACCAAACTGACATCCATTCTCATCTTTTTTTCCCATATTATACATTGTGAATAGTTTTTGGGGCATAATTCTTAAAGGTGCATTGTGTAACTTTTTAGTTTCTGGTGGAGGGTCCGTCAAAACCTCCATGAAGTTGGTCTCCCATCAAACACACACATACACAAAACTATGTCTATTGTTTGTGCTTTGTTTGTACTGCAAAAAGTTTCATTTGTGTGCTTTAGTTTGAGATATTAATGATTGTTTTATAGGTCAAACTGAGGTCAGCCAACCCCCCAGGAAGCTTCAAAATGTTTCCCAATGTCCCAAAATGGGGTCAATCGTTTATGCTTCGTTTGTGCTGCAGAAAGTTTAGTTTGTGCGATTATGGTTCTTAAGATTTTAGCAGTTTTATTTTCGGCCCATGGCATCATCCAGCCCCTCAAAATGTTAAACAACCTCAAAACAGTAAGAAAATTATACGAAATATTTGTATTTTGTTTGTGCTGTGACAGTTTTCATTTGTGCTAGTGTATTTCTGAAATTATAATTTATTATTGTATTATTTAGATTTCATTTCCTCTCAGCTGATGGGCAAGTTTGGGCAGGATGGACAGGCTTTAGCAAAACTCCACAAATCTAGTGAAGATAAACGATCTGAGCCTGTGGAAAAGTCTGTATTATTATATAAAATATGAATCAAAAGCGAGTTACTAAAGACTGATACAGATTTTCCACAGGCTGAGATCGTTTATCTTCACTAGTTTTGCTGAGTTTTGCTAAAGCCGCCGCCGTCTGCTGAGAGGAAATGACGTCATATCATTTCTGCAAAAATAATTTTAGAAATAGACTAGCACACATGAAAACAGTCACAGCACAAACAAAATATGAAAGTTTCATAAAAATTTTCTGCTTGTTTTGAGGCTATTTAACAGGCTATTTTGAGGGGCTGGATGACAAAAAATAAAACTGTTAATCTTTTTTTATTTTTTTATTTTTATTGTATTTATTTTGGGCTAGTAGAGACTTACATTCTTATACAATGGAACATATAACGTAAGTGAAATCATGATAGAAATTAAACTAACCATGATATCTTAAGAACCATAATCGCACAAATGAAACTTTTTGCAGCACAAAACAGCACTAACGAAGCATAAACAATTGACCCCATTTTGCGCCGTTTTAGAGCATTTTGAAGCTTTCGGGGGGGTTGGCTGACCCCAGTTTGACCTATAAAAGAATCATTAATATCTCCAAAACTAAATCAACACAAACAAAACTTTATGCAGCACAAACGGAGCGCAAAAAATGGACATAGTTTTGACGCTGCTTTTGACAGTGCTTTTGTTTTTGCTTTGTCTGGAATGTTTTACAGTGTGGCATTAAACTTTTCTCTCTTCACGGAGACCAAACCTGACCAAGTTACAGGTCAGATCTGTGGAGAGGCGACCCCACTCACTATTAGAATGTTTTTCGAGGTGTTTTTGAGCTATGAAACCAGCTGTAATTGAGTAAATGTAAAGTAGAGCTGTTTAATGTCACACTGTGGAACATTCCAGGCAGAACAGAGACGTTCATAGAAACAAGCAGGTTACTTCTATTGGTAATTTGTATCAATAATAATGAAATAAGTGTATTTTATGGACCAAACTGGCAGGGCTCTCCCCTCTCGCCCAGTCGTCGCGTTCCCGGTCGAGTTGTTTCTAATCTGCGCATCGTCACATTTGGATAGATCTGAAAGCGTCCGCAGGCCCTCTCACTGCTTTTTCTGACGCTTCTGTATTGATCACTGCCACAATCATTTAGTGAAGTTTAGTCCGGCCTGGCCCCACACTTTTCCCGCTCTGATAGTTTTACTGCGGTGACCCACATGAGGCACTTTGTTTTATCAAAGCGAGAGGAGAGAGGGAGGCAGGAAGGCCGCTCTGGTCCATTTTAAACAGCACAGAACAATGTTAATGGAGGTCACGAGTCAAGAGCATTTCAACTGTTTTTTTTTTTTCTTTCTTTTTTTGTTCAGACCTGAATGTGTCTCAAATTAATTGGCTTCTAAAATATTAATGCTACACTTCATAGGAGCCATTATGAGGACTTTTTAACACTGGAAAGATAAGAGCGTTTTGATTTGTTAAGTGCTATGGCAACGATTGTAGTTTCTTAATGGGCTCATATTTTGCTATTTTCTGATCTTTGCTCTAATGTAGTTAACTCATCTCAAACAGACCTGGAGTTGTGTTTTGTTTCATTCACACATGTTTAACACACAAACCTTGCACATTTAGGCATTTAGAGTTCTTCTGAAAACACTCTGTTCCACCTTGTGATGTCGTGAAGAGCTCATTTTCAGATTAATAGACTGATAATTCCATGTATGAAATGATCCAATCTGTTATTTCGAAAATTACCTCTTCACGACATCACAAGGTGGAACGGAGAGTTTTGAGCTTTGGAGATGTAGACAGTATGGATGGGCATGATTTGTCGACTAATCGATAATTGATCATTAAGAATTTTGCCGATCACGTTCATTTTAAATGACAAACCAAATGTAGGTTGCTGTGTGTAGCGTAAGAGGTGAGGCTGCGTCTGACACTAACACTGGAGTCTCGACCTCACAGTCCCACGTTTGGACTCTGGCTCCTTGGAGACACTGTTCCACTCAGTGAGTGTGTTTACAGCACATCAGTGTCCTGGGTATGAGCGGGTTTTTGGAGTATCCCGGTTTTGTTATGGTGCACATACGCAGTATCCCGGTTACTGTATCCCAAATAAGGCAGTATCTGTATACTGTAGCTGGTATATTTTGATAGTAACCAGGATACTGCAGCATGTATACACAGTATCCCGGTTACTGCAACATAAAGTTGAGTGCACATGCATCCAAAAGACAAACACTTTTCAGTCTTTCATAACATAACAGGAGCCAAAATAAATAAAGTGAATAACATCAATAAAGTGAGTCAAATAACTGTTAAATAAAGAACTGAGCTAAGACCAGCTTTTAGTCTATGTAAATGAGTCATGTGGTTTTAAGTTTTGTTTTTGTAAAACGTCAACAAATGTGTCAAAGCTGCATTAAACACATGTTAAACGGGCTGATGTGGTTCTAGAGTGTTTATGATTTATATGTTATAAAGTTGAGTTTATTTATACAGATTAGTAATAGTAATAATAATGATGATCATTTTAATATAAAACGTTAATGATTACTCAGAAATCGAACATTTATTCTCCTGACGATTGATTAAGAAAGTTTAATTGGATGCCTATCCCCAGCAGACAGACTAGTAATAAAGAGTGACTCAGACATGTGTGAATGAAACAAAACACAACTCCACGTCTGTTTTTGATGAGGTAACACCATTAGAACATGGTTTAAAGCTCAAAGGGTCAATTTTGTGTAATGTAGGACCTTTATTACAATCTCTCTAATGCCACCATGTTTGTAGTCTTTTATTTCTTACATGTTTCCCTTTCTTCCTCTGTCTCTCCGCAGCGATCTCAGCGTTTGCAGCGTGCGCTCTGGTGTTACCCGGAAACTACCCGTATTACCTGGACCTCATCCACTCTCTGTGGGTGGGCCCGGCGCTCATCGCTCTGGCAAAGATCGGCATCGCGTTCCCCGTCTCCTACCACACCTACAACGGCATCCGCCACCTGGTGAGACTCAAGTCGACCCGTAGCGCTCGGCCCCACTCACATATAAAGTTCACAAGGAGGGCAGTTATGAGCGAATTTGGAGCAGAGCAGAGATTTATGGACAAAGCAGTGAAATAAAAACAACAGAATCATGTGGAGCGATTTAATATGAACATTTTAAGACCAAACTCAGTTTAGAGAAAAGCAACAAAGTCTTTCTGACTTTGTGAACTCAAAAAATTTCATGAGAACTAATTTAGCTCCGTTAAGATTGAATATTGGTATCTGCGAAAAAAAAAAAAAAAAACAACCTTAACCATCCCAAATAAACAGTATAATTTATTGAAGTCATGTTTATCTGATTTTTAAGTTCATCCTCTCTCCTCCTTTAAACCTGACATTTACTCACCACTATTATGAATAAATCCTCACACAACCCATAACTGTCCTTTTAACCATTTTAAATTCACTGCTGCTTTTTCAATATCTCAGTGTTTGCCTATTTTACTAAGAAAACACTTCTTATTTGCCCACGTTCCCGAGCACAGGCCCTTTCTCATTCTCCTCTCCTCTTGTGTTTTGGGTGATTTCAGTGGTGGGACATTGGAAAAGGCTTTAAGATCCCGGAGGTGTACCGCACGGGCTACACAGGTGATCGGGCTGTCGGTGCTCACCTCCGTCGCCGTGGCCTTCCTCCTCTGAAGAAAAAAAAGTCGTCCTCACACACACGGAAATCTCTCTCTATCGTGGTCTGTCTTTATTGTACATTAAAATATATACGGCACTTTACCTGGTGTGTGGCGTGGGTCTTTTGGTTCACTGTGGATTTAAAATGGCTTGAATTCAGAAACAAATCTTGGGTTCACTATTCAGCAAGGTTTGATTTATTATTTATCTATCTGTATTTACACTTTTTTTCTGTTAAAGGGCTCGTATTTTGCATAATATAGAACCTTTAACTAAAAATGGCTTAAATTCAGAAGCACATTTTGGTTTCAGTATCTGGTATTTTAATCATATTTATGTATATAGCTGCATATTATTTGAGTTGTGCAAATGTTATCATATTAATATATTAATTACCGTATTTTCTGGACTATAAATCGCTCCGGAGTATAAGTCGCACCAGCCAAAAATTGCGTAATGAAGAAGAAAAAAACATATAAGTCGCACTTTTTGGGAGAAATGTGTTTTATAACATCAGAGACCAGGAACTGACATTTAATCTTGAAATGCAAGTTCTAGTAATAACAATAGAAGAGAGAACAACAGACTTAAAAGGTGTTAATATGTTAACGTAACATATGAACAGTTATTCAGATAATTGTAGCATAAACAACATGACATAAGCTTATCAAACTCTCCATCTCACTCCAAATCACAATCTATTCAATTCTACATCCTGTCAGTTCTGCGCGAACCTCCAGAGATAAACCATAGATCCATGATGTAAACAGAGCACCGCCAGTTAGAATTATTCCAGCCTTTCTGAATCCCGACAGGATGGTTTCGGTGTCACTGAAGTCCAGGCTTTGTAGATTCATCCAGTGACTTCCAGGAAAGCTGCACCCGCCCGGTTCCCGTGAAGCTGTGTTCTCCATCTCCACTTTTCTCCAGTCCCTCACAAGTTTCTCGCTCACTCCAAACTTTCTTTCTGCTGCTCGATTACCGTTTTTGGCTGAATATTTCACTATTAAGACGGCGGCTTTTTTCTGCAGGAGACATGCAGTAGAGTGAAGTGAGTGATACAGGAGTAATAGTACTTGATACTGACATACAAGACTGGAGCCTCTCATGGCTGTCAGTCTGAAAATTTTAATATAGAAGTTGCACCAGAATATAAGTCACAGGACCACCCAAACCATGAAAAAAGTGTGACTTATAGTCCAAAAAATATGGTATTATACACATTTTTAAGGACTCCGTAAGTAACGTCATACCCCCAAAAAACATTTTAAAGTGTGAAGCAATGAAAAATGCATCTTTAATGTGAGTGGGCTTGCATCTCCACAAATCTGACTCTAATGTGACCTGGACAAGGGCCGGCTCCTGCTTGTTTCCATGGAAATGTTGTTTGTTTGGCTAAAATATTGTAGCCAGGCTGGTGCCACCTAGTGCCTCTGCTCAAATTCCATTTCTCTCCAGCGACTAGGTCAGGAATCAGAATACACTAGAGACAGTTTGCAAAAAACCTGGAAGTGCGAGTTTGGGCACCAGCCAATCAACGAAGAGCTGTGTTGTCAACGATTCCCGAGATCGAGGATTTAAAGCCGCAATAAAGAGAATGTTTGGTGAATTTTCTCAAGGGGAAAGACGTTATTGAACTTCTTCCTACGGGATTTGGTGCATTACATATGTCACGGCCAAACAGCAGTGATTGGTTGAATAAAAAAGTACTCGCCTACGGTTGAGCAAACAAATCCTAATGCTGCAAGGTCAGACGGTTTCTACGAAGTGAAACCGGCTGATGAATCAGGCTAAAAATATTCCACAGTATGGCATAAAACTCCTGTTGCCCTGGACAATGTTCCCAAGTATGGTTTTAACTTTACATTTCAGTGGAGTTATGCAGATGACATGCCGACTCTAGTAACATACATACTGTACATTTAAACCAGATGCCCTTCCTATCTAAACACCACATTGTTCTGGTACAGTAAAGTAAAATAGTATCACATTTTGAGGCACTACTTCTTATATTTGAGTTATATTTTCCTTCTTTTAAGTCATGTTTTGTGTAGTTTTTATACAGAATAAAACATCGATAATGAGTTTAAGTGAATTATTGTAACTATTCAAGACAACTGGTTGGATTTCAGCTCGTGGTCAGTGTGTAGAAGTGGTTTCACTGTGTTTTGGTGGTGAGTGAAAAGTGAAACGTGACCTATTTAGTGCACACTTGTTAGTGGTGTGAAAGCTCCTCTAAAATTAGCCGTGACCTACATTATAATGCCTTATGTAATCTGTCTTCTAATGGGCTCTTTTATTTCAGTCTGATGTTAGTGCTCCGTCGCTAAACACAAACTCAAAGTCAAAATAAATAATCCTTCAGTCACTAAAATCTGCAAGTTCACCAAATAAATAAATACATGTTAGGTCAGGGGTGGATGCTGAACTTGATTAATAAAAATTTTCAGTGTTTTAAAAGTGATTTCAATAAATAGTAAATTTTGCAGGACTTGAAAGACAGATATTTTGTTGTAATGCTTTGTAATGATATTTAATTACAGGCTATTTCAGTAACATGGGATATTTTTTTCTCTTATGAAGTGGATTGCCAAAAAACTCCATCCGTTTGCTCCTGGTCCGGCCCTTCCATCAAATTTTAGAACCTTTTGTGGCCCGCGAGTGAAAAAGTTTGCCCACCCCTGTATTAGGTGATTAAAGTACTCATATTTGCGATTATGGTCCTAATAATGTCTTTATCGTGTTTTGTTTTGTACACATATGGAGCTCAACTGTGCTGTCCACTCTGAAGTTTCAGAAGTAAAATTTCCATTCATGTTTCTCCATAAACTTTTAACTTTTGGTTGGGGGCCCGTCACCTGTTTCCATGGATACATCATTGCTCTGCCTCAAATATTCCATAGTGTAATGTTAAACAGCTCGACTTTACATTTATTCATTTACAGGTGGTTTTATAGCTAAAAAATGCCTATAAAAACAGACACCCTGACTGTGAGCGGGGTCGCCTCTCCACAGATCTGACCTGTAACATGGTCTGGTTTGGTCTCCATGAAGATAGAAAGGTTTAATGCCAAACTGTGAGCAATGATACACTTTGAAATTGCCTCACGTGCTAAAGTTGATGATTTGAACTCTGTGTGACTTTGTGGATGTTCTGCAGCGTCTCACAGCTCGTTTGGAGACGCCTGAACATTCAAAACACTCAATGCTGCAGCTCGGGTCCTGACTCGAACCAGGAAGTCTGAGCACATGCGTCCCGTGCTCCAGGTCTCTGCACTGGCTTGACTTTAATGAATGAATGAATTAATTAATCATTGCATTTATTTAACACCTTTGGAGACTCCTAAAGCGCTTTATAGTTCATTATTCATTCACTCCACACTCGGTGGTGGTAAGATACTATTGTAGCCTCTGACCATCACTAACACTCACACGCCACTTTCTCACTAGGCAGTGTGGGTGAAGTGTCGGGAGAATTAACGATCGATTATCGATTAATCATTAACGTTTTTATCTTAAAATGATCATCATTATTATTACTATCTGCACTACTAATCTGCATAAATAAACTCAACTATACGACATATAAACTGTAACGACTCTAGAGCCACATCAGCCCGTTTGACATTATAATGTGTTTCATTCAGTTTTGTGCAACTCTCACAGAAACAAAACTTAAAACTGCATGGCTAATTTGCATAAACTAAGCGAAGAAATAACAGCTGTTGTGTGCTGATGTGGTTCAGCTTCTCTCGGACTAAAGGACTCAGTGGAATACAGGTTAGTGTGACCATATTTGCGTTTGTCAAAACCAGGACACCGTACGGGGGCTGGGAGGTGGGGCCTCGTCTTCAACATTGAGTTACTCTCACCTGGCAAAGCTTTTTCATGTTTTTCGGTGTCCTGGTGAGCTCTGAGGTCCCTGACACCACCACTGGACACCGAAACATATGTGCTGCTTTGTACACTGTGCACATGGCCTCCCACTTGTCTCGAACGGAACGGAAAGCGTGGAATTTTTTGTACAAATCATCGTTAAATACACGTTTGTGCTTCGGTACGTTGCAGACTGACCGACTGTTTGTGTCTCGCTCCTTCTGATGCACAGAGAGCTACGAGAGCCGCTCAATTTAATGGCCCAATAAAAGAGAATGAAAACCTGAACATTTGCATCACTTTATAAAAAAAATAAAAATAAAACGGACAGCCAGGACAGGACGTGGAAAATGGACATGTACGCGCAGCAACCTACTTTTGGTTTGTCAATTGAAAATGAACATAATCGATGAAATTCTTAATGATCAATTATCAATTAATTGACTAATCATGCCCATCCCTAGTCTTAGCGAAGGACACAACAACAGTTTTTGCTACTGCCGCCCCCCTGTGGCTCCTGATTTTCCCACTGTCTCCCATCCAAGTACTAACCAGACCAGAACCTGCTGAACTTCAGAGATCTGACAGGATCAGGCTTTGACAAACTGGTGTGGATACAAACTTTAAAAGGGCTCTGTTTGTGTACAAGTCTGTCCATGGCTGTGACATGTTAGTTTTGATTTGTTTGTATTGTGATTTTAAGGTATTTCTTATTCTGTAAATCACTTTGAATTACTTTGTGTCCCAATTGTGCTCTACAAATACACTTGCTTTGCCTTGTGTTTGAATTAATGATAATTATTTGATGATTTTTGAGTCTTATACCTCAGTAAAAACAAGAATTGAGTTGTAAACATAAAAACTGTCTCCAGTAATAAGACTTGACTACTTTCTTACAAACATTTCACCTTTTTAGTTCAGTATAGGCCTGTGACTATAAAAAAATATTTGGATTGAGCTATACTGTAGTACTGACACAATAATGCAGTAACGTCCCAGTAAACCAGAATCATCAAAAAGCATCAGCTGCAGCAGATAAAGAACAAAAAAAGAACCAATAAGTCCCTGTAGAGATAATTTATTCTGCCCCCCACAGCTCAAATCTAGGCTTATTACAGAAAAGTGGCACAAATCAACCCACTTTTGCAAAGAAATTGTACATAAGGATAAATATTAAGTTCCAAACTGTACTGTTCCATCTTTCATATTATTTTTGCAACGGGCCT